TTTTTGGTATATAGGCACTAATTTTTGTATTTTAGTAGAGACAAGGTTTTGCCAATGTTGGCCAGGTGGGTCTTGAACGCCTGACCTCAGGTTGTCCACCTGTGTTGGCCTCCCAAAGTGCTGAGATTAACAGACGTGAGCCACCGCGCCCAGCCTATTACTGCATTTTTATTCAAAATTGTATCTCAAAAGATGTAAGAAAACTTATAGTATCAGATCTTTGTGGTTTACACTGAAATGGATTTGTGTTGCTGCAGATTTCCTGGAGTTTTGATTTAAAGGCAGAAATGTAAGTTTTATTGGTAATCTGTCATAGGATTAGAGTTACAAAAAAATTAAGTTTTATTGAATAGTAAACTTACATTATGGTTGTGATTTAATTACAAAATAAGCATTACTAATAGTACTTGAAGGAAGTTTAAACAGTTCTCAAGTATTGGAACACAAGAATATCTTTCCATGTTTTCCCCAGGAATGTAGCCTGAGATCCTGTCAAGCACATCTCTCTGGCTAAATTGTCGAAGTACAATGTAGACTTTTGATTTTTCCTATAATTTACTTCATACTTATTACTCCTCTGTAATATTTAAGGGGGAACTAAAAGACAGGCTGATTTTTTTTTTTTTTTTTAACAATACCTCTCATCAAATATTGGAATAAACTAACTTGCAGAAATAGACTTGTTTCCATCCAGATCAGTTGTTACGAATCTTTAAAATTTTTTGAAAGTGAAAAGCATCTATACAAAAAGGTAGAAAAATCTCAGATCTCTTGTTCAGTAAATGATATTGAGAATAGACAGAGATCTGTGGCAAAATCCTACCAGTTAGAACTTGGGTTTTCTCTCACACTTTTCTTAAATCTAGAGGGTGTAATAATTGTGTTTCTTTTCCATTGTAATACATGAATGTTTCTCATGTTTTCGATTTTTACAACTTATGTAAATAGCTATTACCGTCTTCAAAAAGTAATTTACAGCTCTGTTTTGAACAAAATTTAGGACTATAAGTTTGGTACATTCATACATATGATCTAGATATTAATTAGAATATACCGCAAGCATTATTTCTTGAACAAACCAGTTAAACTTAATGCAGCTTTATATTTTAAAAGTAACAAAGTATCTCTTATCTCTATATCTGTAAGGGACATTAAAATTTTAATTTAGGTTTCAGTTCTCCATAGATTTATTTTTTCCTTTCTACAGAAAGTTTCCTTTCAGTTCCACTTCAGACTTTTTAATCTTTTATCCTTTGTCCCCTAGAAGTATATGTGAAGATTTGGTATGTGAGATAGGATTATTGTGAAGTTCTTCAGATTGATAGTACATTTGTACAGTTGTGGATTCGTTCCTACAAATTGGCAAATTAACATTTTCTGGTGATTTTCTTTCTTTCTTTCTTTTTTTTAGCTTTTTGTAGATAGTGTGACTTTAAACAGGTTTTCCAGTACACTTAATTTTGGTGGGTTATTTGGTGAAACTAGGTTAATTTATGGATATAACTGCTGTGAAGGCTGGACATGGAGGCTCATACCTGTAATCTCAGCCCTTTGAGTGGTTAAGGCAGGAGGATCACTTGAGTCTAGGAGTTCCAGACCAGGTGGGCAACAAAGTGAGACCCCGGCTTCACACACACACAAAAAAAAAAACCATTAAAAAAATTTAGCCAGGCATGATGGCATGCACCTGTAGTCCCAGCTACTCAGGAGGCTGAGAGAGGAGAATCACCTGAGTCTGGGAGGTTGAGGCTTCAGTGAACCTTGATCATGCCATTGGACTCCAGCTTGGGCGACAAGGACACTGTCTCAAAAAACAACAACAAAAGAAACTATTCTGTGGATTTCATGACCCCATTTCGTTTAAGCATATTTTGAAAGTACTCCACTGCCCCACCTATACCATTTGGAATATATAAATGGGAACATGGGGGATTTAATACCTTAACATTAAGAAAACATCAAAACAAAACCAAACAACCATTTTTATTTGTAAATTTATATCTTAAAACATTTTCCTGTCTTATGGGAACAATTTTGTTTTTTTGAGATGAAGTTTTACTCGTTGCCTAGGTTAGAGTGCAGTGGCACAACCTCGGCTTACTGCAACCTCTGCCTCCCAGGTTCAAACAATTCTGACTCAGCCTCCCAAGTAGCTGGGATTACAAGGCATGCGCCACCATGCCCTGCTAATTTTT